ACATGTATAGAGGTCAATAGTTGGTCTGTTTGTTGGGATGCTGTTTTTTAATACGAGAGTTTAGTTGTATGAGCATACCTCTCATGTAGGCTTTGTATGTTAGCCAAAGTGTGGTGATAGAGATATCTGGGGTGGCGTTAGTTTCAAAAAAGAGATTATGGGCATCCATTATATACTTCTGGTTTTCTGGTAATTTCAAGAGTGCGGAATTAAGTCTCCATATGGGTGGGATTGCCGAACATTGGCTGTCATCCAGGGATATGCTGATCGGGGCATGGTCAGATCGGGGCATGGTCAGACCAGGTTATGATACCAATATTGGAAGATGACACGTGTTGTAGTGTCCATTTGTCGGTGATGAACATATCGATTCTTGAGTACGAAAGGTGCGGGGGTGAAAAATAGGTGTAGTCTTTCAGAGCCATGCTGGCATCTCCAGATGTCGTATAGGTCGTGCTCATGTAAAACGTGGTTGAGGTCGAGGTTGGTGGGTTTTTTTGTTGGAGGATGAATCCATATGTGAGTTATTAAGAATGTTAAGGTCCCCCCCAATAATGAGTCTACCTTGCTTGTGCTTAGAGATGAGATTGAAGAGCTTGAGAAAAAATCTTAGTTGTTTACTGTTCGGACCATATACATTCACCAGGGTATAGGTAATGTCGTTAATTTGGCATATCAAGATAATATATCGCCCTTGTGGGTCGACTATGGAAGAGGTATGTTTAAATGTTAGAGAGTCATTGACGGCAATAATAACTCCGTTTTTCTTCTTGGTGTTAGTTGCCATAAATATTTGAGAGAAACGGTTAAGGTATGGTTTAGGGGTCTTTTCCGTAAGTGAAGTGGGATTCTTGTATAAAGAATAAGTCAGTCTGAGATTTCCGGATTTCTCTGGAGAGCATCGATCTCTTGAAGGGGGAGTTGAGGCCTCGAGCGTTAAGAGAGGTGATAGTAATCATTGGATATATTTACTGAGTATAGACATAGTTGGGTTGTTGTTTGGTAGTATTTAAGTGTGTGAGGTTTCACTCCGGGGAGAGTAGCGGTAAAATGACTGAAGAATAGGTAAGGCTCGATAGGAACTGTAGAGAGCGTATTCCAAATAAAGTCCTTTATTTCAAATCTTGTGTTACTAATGTATAGTCGGTGGTGCCGTGAGAGAGGGAAGGTGGGAGAGGGAGAAACAACAGTAAAAAAAAACACTTGCATATAACGCAAGTAACCAGTGTAGCTGGGATCGCTACGTCAAAAAGGAGGGGTACAAACAGGTTCTGACCTCCAGAGGGGTCATGTCTGCAACAAACTTGAAAAACGAAAGTCATTGGGTATAGGCCGATCGCCAGAAGTTGGAGTATCCGTAAATGGCCTCCGGGGGAAGGTATAGTGGAGTGTAGGTGCAGCATGTGTCGTTGTGCCCTTCAGGTCGCCTCCATATTTTGGATGGAACTGAGCGTATTTTCCCGTGAGTCTGCGGGCAGAATGCTCCAAGCTTTAAGGAGGTCCAGGCCAGCCTCTAGGTTTTTGATAGTATAGGTCCTGCCTTGGTTCCGTACAAATAGTTTTGTAGGAAAGCCCCATTGATAGGCAATGCCTTGATTTCTTAAGGCTTTAGTCATTTTTTTCCTGTTTGAAAGTGTGGCTTTGGACAGGTCAGCATATAAGCGTAGATTCGCATGAGACTGTGGGAGCGGTGGCGGGTTTCTAGCCACTAACATAATTTTCTCCTTGATATGATAGAAGTGTATGCAGACAAGCACGTCTCTAGGGATAGAAGCCGATAAGAATGAGGGCTTAGGAAGTCGATGTGCTCGATCGAGCGTGACCTCTACTTCGAAGAGTGCTGGGATTAGCAGTTTGAGGAAGTGCTGTAGATATGGCAGCAGTGCCTCATTGGTAATTGTTTCAGGGATCCCTCTGAATTTTATATTATTGCGGCGTGATCTATCTTCCAATTCGGCTAATTTTAATTTAATTTGTTCGATATCTGACGCATGATCCGCGTGAGCATCAATCAAATCATTGTGTGCCGCAACTATGTCTCCCATGTTGGTTTCAATATGGCGAATTCTACGTTCCTGCGGTTGCACTAGGGTGGTAAGCTGAGTAAGTGGTGCAGATATATCGTTGTGCAGGGTTTGCCGCAAAGACACAAGCCTGTTTTTCATGCATATCTCGGTGAGCGGTTGATTGGACGCAGGGAATGCGTCTATGGTAGGCATAGCCGTATGAGGTAACTGATGTGGGAGGTTTAGGGTCTGAAATGAATTGTCAGTGTCACAGTCCAGTCGTGGCCTGGATTTGGCCGGGCTGCTGGTCGTGGGAGATAAAGAAGGTGACAACTCACCAGGGTCCCCTGGGTAAAGCTGTTGCTGCAGCCTAGGATCCGTACACTGGGCTCTGTAATCCTCCTCTGATGTGCTGCTGCCTCCCTGCACTCCTGCATTGCGGGCGCCATCTTGGTTTCCCGGCATGACGGCCGGAAAGAAGTTGGTTAACTTCCCTGGTTGCCCCGGGCTCTTTTTCCTGCGGGGCATGTCTAGTGGGCTGCGGGCACACTGCGGCTGTCAGTGTGTGCCGTTAGTTTCCCCCGGGGTCGGTGTGTGCAGATTTAGCGCGGAGCTGACACTACAGCACGTCCATCTCCGAGCCGGCCGCGCATGCGCCCCCGTCTCAATATATTTTTAAAGGGATGTGAATGTAATTGTAAAATAAATTTACACCCTATTTTATTTATTAACATAGTTTTTAGAGCTGGACTTTCATTTAGAAAAAAAGTATTCCTTTTACAAGGTCTGATCCCTAGTATTAACCTTTAAACCTAATTCAACACTTTCTGGACCCTTAAGCCTAAATCCCAAAATTGATAGTTATATTTGTCACTAACCTAACCCAATCTCAAATTTTAACACTGACAATAAATCCGATCTCACATTGACCTTAATTCTCTAATACTTCCTGGAAATGGGTACTTACTTTATTGGTGGCAATAGTGTCCTTTTCCAAATTCTTCTAATTATTGTGTTGAGGTCTTGTATCTGGTTTGACTGATAAATTTTTTTTTTAAAAAAATGGGGTTCCTACGAAATCCACACCAGAACCTGATCTAAGCATGAAACCTGGCTGTCCAGGAAAGGGGAGGATGAGCTTATGTAATTAGCAGTGATGATGCTGATAGTCTCACCCGATGCAACAATCTCAACCCACTGTAGAGTAGGCGGTCGCAGTTTACTTGAGGGTAACACTGTTCTGAATTTAGGAGCAGTGCAAAAGCATTGTCACTGTGTCACAGGAAGCTGCATGAGGTGGAGTTTACTGGCAGACTCAACAAGTATTTGTGAAACTGAAGGGGGCTAAAGGGAAAACACTAAGGCTTTATTCACATATGAGCGTAGCTGTTGCATGATTTTTCGTGCATGTTTTACCGCGATGTTTGCACATTTTTGCACCTTTTCCTACAGCTTTTTTAGCTGTTTTTAAGCTTTGGCGTTTTTTTATTAGCGAATAGAGAAAATTTCATATGTTGCATCATTCATTGCAAAGTTTTCTGCTTCAGCTTTTCCAACAGATATTTTATTTCATTTTTTTTTTTATTATTAATAATGTATTATTTTGTTTTTTATTAGGGTAAGGGGTTAGAATTAATGGTTAGGCTAGGGTAAGGATTTGGGTTGGGATGAGTTATTTTTTTTCTTATTTATTTTTTGTTAGGGTAGGGTGATGATAATAAACCATGAATAAATAAATGTAAAATAAATACACAAATATAATCATAAATACTTATAATATTATATTAATAATAATTAACCCATAACCTTAACCCCCTAAAATCTAAAAAAAAAAAAAAATTAATAATACTTTTGTATTTTATTTTTTGTTGGGATTTTTTTTATGATTATTATTATTTTCATTTTTTTAAGGTTAGGGGTTAATCATTATTTAGCGTGATTTTTTATTTATATGTGCATTTATTTTACACTTATTTATTCATACATTATTACTATTTTCTTTAACATTTTTTCATTTGGACAGAAAATCGCACAAAACAAGCAAAAACAAGCTATCCGCACATTTCTATTAATTTCTATGGTAATAAAAACATGCCAAAAGCATGCAAAGCCACCCAATTTAAGCTACAAAAGTAGCTCCAAAACTTTTTTTGAGCTTCAGGCATTCTGCTTCAGGCAACTTGGAGTAGAGATGTGAACGTCAGTCTATCTAATATTGATTTTTTTTTTTCCCCCTGAGCATTTTGGAGCTTTAAGCTTCACGTTACAAAATGCTCAGGTATGAATGGAGCTTTATTGCATAAAATTTGGTGCTGTACCACTTTTTTTTTTTTTTAATGGGATGCCATAGACCTACTTTTTTTCCACAAAAGGTTTTGCGATGAATTTCATGTGTTCAAAATGACAAACTGAAATGTGTGAATATAAAAATGCTTCTATTTGCCCAACATGCAACTTTAAATATTTTTCAGAATGAGTAATATTTGATGTAGCCAAAGCTGAATAAGGTGAGCTAAGAAGATAGGATATGTGTTTTATATGTCTTTTTAAGTAAAATTTTAAAAAATGTTTTCATTCAAAAAAATGTTAACGCTTCTAAACTTTTTAAAAATATTAGCATTTCAGCTTTTAGCCTTTTTTATATTATTGTACTTAATTTGGTTGGTAATGCAGGGTACCCTTGCTGCCCATGGCGCCTGATAACTTGTCTAACTGCATCAATCAAAGGCCAGCAATATCCTTCCAAAAACACTCTTCCATGTTTTCACTTTCTGGAATTGCATCCAGTTGACATGTGAAAATGTTTATTGGTGAAACTTGGTTAGGTGACTAAACATGGCTTCGCATTGTATTGATGAGTGTGAAAATGACCTTGATCAAGTTGAAATTTACCCAATTTTTTTTAATGTACTCAAACTTTTGTGCTTTGGAATTGTTTACTTAAGCTAATAGATTACCTGAAGAACTCTACAATGGCATAGACAATATTCATAGGCATTTTCTGCTTATATTATGTACTCCGACATCTGCTTCCAGTGCAGACAAACAGTAAAGAGCTGTATGCTGCAATATTCAGGCACTGCTAGCAGGGGCGGACTGACAATTGATGGGGCCCCCGGGCAATAGGGGATCATGGGGCCCCTGTGTCCTTGCCCAAACTCAAAAAAGGCTATGAAAAAGGTACCAGGGGGCATCTCATGGGGCCTCCTACTGACCCTGGGCCCTTGGGCAGTGCACGAGTTTACAAATGGTCAGTCCGCCCCTGACTGCTAGTGTCCTTTGCACATATTATTGTAGGTTCGGTGGAATGTAAAAACTGAAAAAAAACACACAATTTCAAATATTAAAAAAAAAACAAAAAAACATTTGTGTTGTACCCTAATGGGTTTTTACATCCTATATTTTTTAATGCAGTAAACCTGTAAATCAGGTGTATTTCTATTCCTTCTGATTCAATGGAAATCTAAAAAAGCCATCTAAAGTATTGTCGATATAAAATGTACATTAATTAAATCATCACATAGTATGCATATTTTGAGAACTGCTTTATTGCTTTTGATGTTATTTAGTATTAGTTTTGTTGTTTGGACTGGGAATGTTATGCGTCTTAATTTCCTATTCTGCCTACCTGTAACAAATCTGGCCTCCTGGATCTTATGAGTCCCTATTATCCTCTGTCAGACCTTTTGGAATTGTACTGGAAATATTCAAAATCTCCAGAGAGATGGAGCCTGAAAGTGCACATTACAGCCATAAAATTTAAGGAACTGGGCAGGAAGAGAGTGTGATGGTTACACAGCTTGACTAGATTTGCATATAATAAGCAGTATTCATGATGCATAAATCAATGCCCTGGTTGCATAATAAGCCTAGTAGAGGCTGCAATAGGGGATAACCGAGTAAAAAAAAAATTAAGAAAAGTAAAAGTATGTAGTATTCACTACACAGCTGCTACATAAAGGAGAGGAAGAATTGTGCATTGGGTCAGTGACCTCATGATCCCAGGGAAAAGGTCCTATACTCCCAACACTTTCATCTCAATGATGTATGAGCCAGGGTTTTCTGTGTGTACCATGGTGTAGGCCTGTTTTATATCAGATACATTTTGAGCACACTTATTATGAGGATTCACTGTGTATAAATGTTTATAATGTGTATAAATGCTTTTATTTATGTTAAAAAAAAAAACTTAAATATTTCTTCAGATTTTTATAACACTTTGACTTCCATCATGCCTCAAATTCATCAAGAACCTGTCCCTAGTCTTCTATTCAGTGGGGCATCAATTAACATAATCTTCTATCAGCTGTGAATAAACACTAGCGTTTGATACTTCACAAGTTAAAATAGCGTCAACTGTTATATTTAGAAGGCATTTTTTTTTATTATTTTGAGTTTTGTGTTTACTTTTATTAAAAAAAGTTTAATAATTTTTGAAACAAATGCAATTCTAGCTATGTATGCATTTATGGTTCTTATTTTTTTATATAGTATGAAAACAATGTAGGGATGGTAGTATTTCTAGCAGTCTTGCCGTGTCGTGGTTTTTTTCACTGTTCTTGCAGAGAATTAAACCCAGGGATGATCTGTGTTACTCCACCTGTCAGTCACTCTTTTGAGAATGCCTGTTTCACTGGTGGATACAGAGAGAGTCCTGTCTGTTTTGTCAGCTGGCCAACCCTTGGTGAGCCTGTCATCAGTGGGTTGGGCTAGTTTTGACAAAACACAGAGAGATTGTTCAGACCTTCCCCTGCCGGGGAGTGGGTGGATTCTAGATCAGGGCTGTATTGAGGACCTGATGCTGGAGCCTGGATTTAGATGATATTGCCTCTCTCTTTTGAGAAAGCAGGCCTAGGAAGGTTTTTTGCTAGGGTAATTACTGGAACAGAGTAACCAGAACCTTTTTTCGTTTTGTTGGGCTGATGTGCACGAAAATAATTTCTTTTTCGATGCTTTTGTATGCTGAGCCGAATGGCAACATTTAGCCAAGTAGCTATAGGACTCCTGTGTAAGTTTTAACCCTTCCAACGTCTTTGTCCTCTTGTACTACCAAGTCTAGTAAATCTTTTTAAAAGTACCTTCAAGTTTGTACCTTCCTCCTTCAAAGCATATCATTGTGATGTTTCCTGTGGATTAGGAACATCCCAAGGGGGAGTTTGTCTTGTATCCACAAAACTCCTTTAAGTGGGAGCAGTCGAGACTAAAGGACATCAGGACCATAGACACCCACTTAGTGTAGGCTCAAGATCCACTGTTACTGGTGCTACTGCATGGGGATGTAATGGCTGCAAGATGAGGATCGTCTCACATGACCCCCACCACCACCACCACCACCCATTGCACAAACAAAAAATGTATGGATGTTTAACAACTAATCAGGTTCTTACTACCCTTCTTAGTGTAGGTTAAAAAAAAGAAAATACATACCTGGCTACAATAGGAACCACTCATGTTTTTTTTCTAGCTTATATAATCACCATGCATTTTACAGTAAGGAAAAGCATAACATTTGATTTATTTTTTGTAGAAAATGTCAAGAGGTTCTTGAGTGAAACAGCATTATATTATGTTTTGTAAAAATGTCAAGGGGGGCTTGCCCGTTTAATGCAAAGTGACAGATTTTTTTTTGAAACGTATGCCACCCACCTGCTGATATTTTACTTTGCCCAGCTTTCCTGCCACTTTGTTATTTTAGTGAAGCTGGAAGGTCATGCACTTTCTAAGCTCCATGTCGGCTCTCACACAGGTTTAAGAACTTTCTACCCTACTTAATGTAACAGTGTTTTGAGCCTGGTTCAGGCCCAAGGACTGGATAATGGGAAGAAGAAGTAAAGGTCACATGCTCCCCTCTAACTGGAAACAATAGGTATTTCTAAGGTTTAGCAACAGAATAATGGGGTAGGCTTCCAAAGTTGTTCTTTCCTGAATGATCATTGCCTTAAAAAAAACAAGCTTTTTACCCACTGCTTTCAACTTTCCCCAGCTCCTTCGTTATTCCTTTGGAGCTAGCAGACTACAACCTGTGTAGGCTCCAGGTCAGCAATCATAAATGATTAATAACAACTTCTCCTCCTTCACATTGTAAGCCGTGTACCGGGGTGGGCTCCCCAGTATACAGTGAAGTCACGAACGAAGAAAGCAACCTCAACACCAGCTTTTGCCACAACAGAATTTTACTTAGATGTGGCAAATAAACGCAACCACAAATGCTGGAAACATACAATACATTTACATACACCCAGCCCAAAGGCTGAGTGCCTTGTGCTGCACAGCACGGTGCCTTCTGATGGATGAAGGTAGAAAGTGAAGTAATTTACCTACTGGCGGGCACAAATAAGCTGCCACACCTTACCTGTTATTACCCTAAAAGAGCAGGAATCAGTGTATGGGTGTATGGTATGGGCTAGCCTGTGGTGCAGCACAACAGCTTACAATCTTACACAAATCTACAGTATTCCCTCTCCCCTACTGGTCCTGTAGCACATGCCTGAGTATTCCTTCTGGGCAAAACGCCAGTCTGGCTTGAGTTTGTAGGATTTTATCAGCTCTCCAATGGGAAATGTCACTTTAAGTTGTGGAGTCCTTCCAATGATCAGTAACAACACTTGTGGCCTGACACAAACAGAGACCCTAACTAACTATAGGCCTGGACTCAGTCTCAAGGCGCCAACACTGAAATGAGGTGCGTGCATGATCTTACCGAGCCGGGTCTCCTCTGTATCTGCTGGTGACTCTGAACAGAGCAAATGTCTCTCCAACAGGCCTGCGATATTGTAGTGTATGCTGCGTTGTTCCTCGGCTCTCATCAGCTTCCTGGCAGCAATCTCATCAGCTTCACCCAGTTGCATCTCACACGGCCCCTTCATTCAGCATTCTCCAGAACATGGCTCCTGCATTCAGCATCGTCCAAAACATGGCTGAAGTCTCCTCTTCCTGTTTACTAAAAACCCCAACTCTGTGTGAAAACTCTATCTCTTCATGAATATACAAATATCTATGCAGTCTGAGCCTGTGTTAGAAAAATAGTGACATCTTGTGGCTAAACCGCAGAATGTCAGTCAAAACATCAATTTACTCCATAATTTACTGCACACAAACAGTGTTCAAACTATGAGAGCTGTTTCCCCATCTCACAACATGACAGTGTTAGAGCCTAGCAATTGGCTGTTTGGGCTCAGTCATAATAGTAGGGAGAAAGGGTGGCAACAGGCACCTCCAAAGGGTTTTGGCACAGAAGCCAAAAGGTGGGAAAGGGTTGCAAATGTGAGCATCAGTAGGTGAGGGATCATTTCCTAAAGGGACAAGGTGACAAATTTAACCACTTCAAGTATGGACACGTTCACTCCCTTCCTGCCCAGACCAATTTTCAGCTTTCAGTGCTATCACACTTTGAATGACAATTGTGCGGTCATGCAACACTGTACCCATATCAATTTTTTAGCATTTTTTTGAGACAGATAAAACCTTTATTTTGGTGGTATTTATTTACCACTGGGATTTTTAATGTTTTGCTATATAAATGAAACAGTCCAAACATTTTGAAAAAAAAAAAAAGGTTTTCTTATGAAATTTGGCAAATAATCTTTCTTCAAAAATCTTGGCCAAAATGTATTCAGCTCTCTTTTTAGTAAAAAAAAATAACCAAAATTAGTTTATAACAAAAATTATAATTTGAAAATTTTTTTTACATTTTTATTTTTTTAGTTTTATTTTATAACATACTGTCATCCTAGCAGTACAATGTCACCATAGTGAAGATTTTTTTTTTTTTTTTTTACATTGATTGCTTTTACACCTGTAAAGGCTGTAAAAGCAATCATTTCTCCTTCTTACTGGCTGCATTCTTGCAGCCATTGAGAAATACTGTGAGAGCTGTGATTGGTCACAGCTTGTCACATGATACAAGGCTGTTGAGAATAGCCTTGTACAATGTGACCTCTGTGATCATTCACAAAATTCACAAGTAGTAAGCATGATGTCAGTAAGTGACATCTTGCTTACTACTATGCATGTGATCACTGATTGGTCAGTCGGTGAACACATGATCGAGACCTCACACAGAGGTCCCCTGCAGCGATCGTTGTTCTGCTGTTTCCAGAGGACACAGCGGGCACCTGATGACGGTGCTGCGTGCACCCAGGGAACGCGCACAGGCCGGGAAGTGGGACATTTATAAATGGCCATCCGCTCCTGTACTGCTCCCTTCTGGCCGTTTATGTACATGGGCCGGACGGGAAGTGGTTAAGGAAAACCAAAATCAGGAGGTG